GATTTTCACTGGAGGCAAATTCAGACACTGAAGAAATCAATGCAACTTCTTTTTGCAGAAGATATGTGTCTAATATACCACCAAGAACAGAATTTACAAAACCATATTGACTACTTACATCAAGCCTGCACAAAGTATGACATGAGAACAAACAATGCAAAAACAAAGGTAATGAGGCAGGAAACAAAATATCATGAACCTTCGTGTTAACAGTTCTAAAATCAAACAAGTATGAGAATTCAAATAGTTAGGAAGTATATTTACGGAGGATGGCAGACTCAAAAGAGAGATAGAAGCCAGAGTACAGAAGTCAAATGCTGTCACCTACCAGTTAGCCCCATTACTTAGACTCCCAAATGTCTCTCTTCCAGCAAAACAGCAAATAATTAATAGCATCTTTATTCCTACTTTTATCAGTGCCAAACATGGACAAAGAATAGGGCACTAGAACAGAAAATAACTACATGTGAAATGCACTGTCTCCGCAAGGTCACTAACACTATACCAGACAGGGTTACGAATACCAGCATTAGAGAGAAAGTTGGAAAAAGACCATATCTGGATTTTATTGGCAGACAAAGAATGAAATGGCTCGGCCATCTAGTGAGAATGCAGCCAGACCAGACTGCTATGAGACTTTTTTTACAGTAGAAATTTTGGGTGGAAAGTGAGAGGAAGACCAAGAAAGAGATGGATGAATGGTGTAGATGAACCTGCCAAAAGTGGAACAAATCCATCAGCCAAGCCACCTGAACCAAGAAAGAGATGGATGAATGGTGTAGATGAACCTGCCAAAAGTGGAACAAATCCATCAGCCAAGCCACCTGAACCAAGAAAGAGATGGATGAATGGTGTAGATGAACCTGCCAAAAGTGGAACAAATCCATCACCCAAGCCACCTGAGAAGTTCAAGACAAATATAGACATACAGAAAACTAGGACACTGGGCTACTACCTGGTATCAGTGTGACGAAATAAGAAGAAGAAGAAGAATGGTACCACTGGAACTGGCTAACAATCAACACTCAGGGAAAAGATGAGACGGATACACAATCAGGCTGTTACTGGTACCACTGGAACTGGCTGACAATCAACACTCAGGGGAAAGATGAGACGGATACACAATCAGGCTGTTACTGGTACCACTGGAACTGGCTGACAATCAACACGCAGGGGAAAGATGAGACGGATACACAATCAGGCTGTTACTGGTACCACTGGAACTGGCTGACAATCGACACTCAGGGGAAAGATGATATGGATACACAATCAGGCTGTTACTGGTACCACTGAAATTGGAAATGTAGGCTTGCTGCTAAAGATGGGGATAGAGTACTTATGGGAATGTCTCAAGCACTGTGATGTGATTTTTAATTCAACATTGAACACCGATTTTACAAAAATGGGTTCACAATTTTATTATATCTCATGTTTTTGAAGATAAATAAAAATATACTTGTATACACTTTTATTGACACATTACTTGATCATTGCACCTAAACATCACTTCATCCATAATTCTGCTCATTCTATCAGTCACTCTCTCTCTCTCTTTATTAGTTTTGGTAGATCTATCACAAATTGACCAGACGGTGCTCATGGAGCCAGTGGTCAGGCAGTTACTGTGAGGTGATTTATCTGATGATCTGACCATGGCAACTATGTCCCAATGACAGCATCAGTCTAGGCCATACGGCTGCCCTCAGCACCGGCTGTGACATGGGTAGCCACCAGCACCAACTGTAACATGGTTTACCACTATTACTATTGGGGGTGGACCGTAACTTTACTGCTACTGCTTTACTCAACATAGACAACCATCAACCCCAGACAATGACAACCATCAACCCCAGACACTGACAACCATCAACCCTAGACACTGACAACCATCAACACCAGACACTGACAACCATTGATACCAGATAATGACAACCATCAACACCAGATAATGACAACCATCAACACCAGATATTGACAACCATCAACACATGACACTGACAACCACCAACATCAGACACTGACAACCATGAACACCAGACAATCACAATCATCAACAGCAGACACTGACATCTAATCTCTAGGACTGCCAAAACCAGACATTGACAACCATCAACAGCAGACACTGACAACCATCAACACCAGACATTACAACCATCAGCACCAGATAGACAACCATCAACACCAGATACTGACAACCATCAACACCAGACACTGACAACCATCAACAGCAGACACTGACAACCATCAACACCAGACATGACAACCATCAACACCAGACACTAATTTCCCTCACTGCTACCATCACTTCTTGGTATTTACTTGCCATATACATCAGTGTCCTGACCAGGAGCGAACTAATGGTCCACAATGACCACAGAGTGTGTTGTCCTAGAGTCCAGTAGAACTACCAGCCCACACTGACCACTGAGTATGTTGTCCTTGAGTCCAGTAGAGCTGCCAGCCCACACTGACCACTGAGTGTGTTGTCCTAGAGTCCAGTAGAACTGCCAGCCCACTGAGTATGTTGTCCTAGAGTCCAGTAGAGCTACCAGCCCACACTGACCACTGAGTGTTGCTTCCTAGAGTCCAGTAGAACTACCAGCCCACTGAGTATGTTGTCCTAAAGTCCAGTAGAGCTGCCAGACCACACTGACCACTGAGTATGTTGTCCTAGAGTCCAGTAGAACTACCAGCCCACACTGACAACTGAGTGTGTTGTCCTAAAGTCCAGTATAACTACCAGCCCACACTGACCACTTAGTATGTTGTCCTAGAGTCCAGTAGAGCTGCCAGGACACTGAGTATGTTGTCCTAGAGTCCAGTAGAACTACCAGCCCACACTGACCACTGAGTGTGTTGTCCTAGAGTCCAGTAGAACTACCAGCCCACACTGACCACTGAGTGTGTTGTCCTAGAGTCCAGTAGAACTACCAGCCCACACTGACCACTGAGTGTGTTGTCCTAGAATCCAGTAGAACTACCAGCCCACACTGACCACTGAGTGTGTTGTCCTAGAGTCCAGTAGAACTACCAGCCCACACTGACCACTGAGTGTATTGTCCTAGAGTCCAGTAGAACTACCAGACCACTGAGTATATTGTCCTAGAGTCCAGTAGAGCTACCAGACCACACTGACCACTGAGTGTGTTGTCCTAGAGTCCAGTAGAACTACCAGCCCACACTGACCACTACGTGTTTTGTCATAGAGTCCAGTAGAACTACCAGACCACGCTGACCACTGAGTGTGTTGTCCTAGAGTCCAGTAGAACTACCAGACCATGCTGACCACTGAGTGTGTTGTTTTAGAGTCCAGTAGAGCTACCAGACCACACTGACCACTGAGTGTGTTGTTTTAGAGCCCAGTAGAGCTACCAGACCACACTGACCACTGAGTATGTTGTCCTAGAGTCCAGTAGAACTACCAGACCACTGAGTATGTTGTCCTAGAGTCCAGTAGAGCTACCAGACGACACTGACCACTGAGTATGTTGTCCTAGAGTCCAGTAGAGCTACCAGACCACACTGACCACTGAGTATGTTGTCCTAGAATCCAGTAGAACTACCAGACCACACTGACCACTGAGTTTGTTGTCCTAGAGTCCAGTAGAACTACCAGCCCACACTGACCACTGAGTGTGTTGTCCTAGAGTCCAGTAGAGCTGCCAGCCCACGCTGACCACTGAGTGTTTTGTCCTAGAGTCCAGTAGAACTACCAGACCATGCTGACCACTGAGTGTGTTGTCCTAGAGTCCAGTAGAACTACCAGACCACGCTGACCACTGGGTGTGTTGTTTTAGAGTCCAGTAGAGCTACCAGACCACATTGACCACTGAGTGTGTTGTTTTAGAGTCCAGTAGAGCTACCAGACCACACTGACCACTGAGTGTGTTGTCCTAGAGTCCAGTAGAACTACCAAGGATACAGGCTACAAATTAGTGGCAACATGTTGGGCAGAAATAAGGATACAGGCTACAAATTAGTGGCAACATGTTGGGCAGAAACAGTGATAAAGGCTATAACATGTTCAGCAGAAATAGGGATACATGCCATAAGATGTTGGGCAGAAACAGGGATAATACAGGCCACAAGATGTTGGGCAAAAATAGGGATAATACAGGTCACAAATTGTTGAGCAGAAATAAGGATAATACAGGCCACAAGAAGTTGGGCAGAAATAGGGATAATACAGGCCACAAGATGTTGAGCAGAAATAAGGATAATACAGGCCACAAGAAGTTGAGCAGAAATAGGGATAATACAGGCCACAAGATGTTGAGCAGAAATAGGGATAATACAGGTCACAAGATGTTGAGCAGAAATAAGGATAATACAGGCCACAAGAAGTTGGGCAGAAATAGGGATAATACAGGCCACAAGATGTTGAGCAGAAATAGGGATAATACAGGTCACAAGATGTTGAGCAGAAATAAGGATAATACAGGCCACAAGAAGTTGGGCAGAAATAGGGATAATACAGGCCACAAGATGTTGGGCAGAAATAGGGATAATACAGGTCACAAGATGTTGGGCAGAAAAAGGGATAATACAGGCCACAGAAGTTGGGCAGAAATAGGGATAATACAGGTCACAGGATGGTGCTAACAGGATGCTGGCTACAAGATGGCTGCATCAAACTGTAAGTAAACTTTTTTGTTGTTGTTTATTCTACCTAGTGTATGTTATCTGCCTACAAGCAGTTCTTATCAAGCTGTGTCCATTGTATCCAAGTGACTTTTTGTGAAGGACATCTGTGCAGACATCAAGTCAGCCTATGATGGGTTGTTGTGTGTCAGTGTCTGCCACAAGCTCTTCATACACAAGCTATAACTGCTCATACTCCCCAAGTCAGCCTATGATGGGTTGTTGTGTGTCAGTGTCTGCCACAAGCTCTTCATACACAAGCTATAACTGCTCACACTCCCCAGGACAGACCTTTGAGAAATTCATCGAAATCTGCATCTGACATAGCTTCCAAGTTAAGAGTTTGTGACTGCAGTGAATTAGATGATGATGATGATGAATGAAGTCTGGGTAGTGCTGGGTAATGGCTGTAGTGTGCTGTCTACTGTGCTGGAAGGAATGTCTCTGTGGCTGGGATCCTGCGACTTTGCTCCATGATGACTGGGACTAGACTGAAACAAAGATGGAGGTGGCTGGGTGCTAGCTGTCACAATGGAAGATGGCTGGCTGATGAATGTCATAGTTGAAGGAGGCAGTATAGAATTTGCTGGGCCAACTGCTGGTGAGGTTGGACCTGTGGCTGGCAAATCTGGACCACTGGTTGGTAAGGCTGGACCTGTGGTTGGCGAGGCTGGACCTCTGGTTGGTGAGGCTGGCACATTTGTGACTGATACTGGGGATGGTGTGTCTAAGTTAATGGCCAGCGAGGAGCTGACAGGTTCACCTGGGATGTCATTATCATCATCTTCATCTGAGCTGTCCAAGGTCAGATCAATGACAGGACCCTTAGTGGAAGCAGGTTTCTGTACTGGTGCTAGAAATAAGTCAATAATAGTTAGTATCAGTAAATTATCAGCTAGAGATGAGCCAATGATAGTTGGTATCAGTAAAGTATCAGCTAATAATGAGCCAATGATAGTTGGTATCAGTAAAGTATCAGCTAGAGATGAGCCAATAATAGTTGGTGTCAGTAAAGTATCAGCTAGAGATGAGCCAATGATAGTTGGTATCAGTAAAGTATCAGTTAGAGATGAGTCAATAATAGTTGGTATCAGTAAAGTATCAGTTAGAGATGAGTCAATAATAGTTGGTATCAGTAAAGTATCAGTCAATGATAGTTGCTATCAGTAAAGTATCAGAGATAAGCCAATGATAGTTGGCATCAGTAAAGTATCAGTTAGAGATGAGCCAATGATAGTTGGTATCAGTAAAGTATCAGTTAGAGATGAGGCAATGATAGTTGGTATCAGTAAAGTATCAGTTAATAATGAGCCAATGATAGTTGGTGTCAGTAAAGTATCAGCTAGAGATGAGCCAATGATAGTTGGTATCAGTGAAGTATCAGTTAGAGATGAGTCAATAATAGTTGGTATCAGTAAAGTATCAGTCAATGATAGTTGCTATCAGTAAAGTATCAGAGATAAGCCAATGATAGTTGGCATCAGTAAAGTATCAGTTAGAGATGAGCCAATGATAGTTGGTATCAGTAAAGTATTAGTTAGAGATGAGGCAATGATAGTTGGTATCAGTAAAGTATCAGTTAGAGATGAGCCAATGATAGTTGGTATCAGTAAAGTATCAGCTAATAATGAGCCAATGATAGTTGGTATCAGTAAAGTATTAGTTAGAGATGAGCCAATGATAGTTGGTATCAGTAAAGTATCAGTTAGAGATGAGCCAATGATAGTTGGTATCAGTAAAGTATTAGTTAGAGATGAGCCAATGATAGTTGGTATCAGTAAAGTATCAGTTAGAGATGAGCCAATGATAGTTGGTATCAGTAAAGTATTAGTTAGAGATGAGCCAATGATAGTTGGTATCAGTAAAGTATCAGTTAGAGATGAGCCAATGATAGTTGGTATCAGTAAAAGTATCAGTTAGAGATGAGCCAATGATAGTTGGTATCAGTAAAAGTATCAGTTAGAGATGAGCCAATGATAGTTGGTATCAGTAAAGTATTAGTTATAGATGAGCCAATGATAGTTGGTATCAGTAAAGTATTTATTGATAAAATGCTAAGAGATGAGCAGGCAGGTTTTCGGTCAAACAGATCCTGTACTGATCAGATAGCCACATTACGTATTATAATAGAGCAAAGCATTGAACTGAACTCACCACTTTACATTGGATTTATAGACTATGAAAAAGCATTTGACAGCATAGATAGGGAATCTCTCTGGAAATTGATGGGGCACTATGGAATCCCACAGAAAATTATCAACTTAGTAAAGGCAACATATAAAGACATGAAATGTCGAGTTCTTCATGAGGGAAAGCTAACAGATGCATTTGAAATAAAAACAGGTGTGCGACAGGGATGTCTTTTGTCGCCTCTCTTATTTTTACTGGCTATAGACTGGACTATGAAAACAGTAACTGCTAACACCAAGAATGGAATTCAGTGGACCCCTACAAAACAGCTTGATGATCTGGACTTCGCTGATGATATTGCTCTTCTGTCCCATTCACGGAATCAGATGCAAGATAAATTAAATATACTTAATGCGAGATCAAAGCAGCTTGGTCTGAAAATCCATAAAGGAAAGACAAAGATAATGAGAATAAATCAGGAAAATAGTAATGTGGTTTCTCTTAATGGCACCCCACTCCAAGACGTGGAGTCGTACACCTATTTAGGCAGTAATGTAGATAAAGATGGAGGAACTGATAGAGATATTAAAATAAGAATACAAAAGGCAAGAGGGGCTTTTATAGCACTAGGGAATTTGTGGAGGTCAAAAGAAATTAAAAGAAATACTAAACTAAAAATTTTTAATTCTAATGTCAAATCAGTACTATTGTATGGGGCGGAAACATGGAGAACAACCAAGGCAATTACTAATAAATTACAGACATTCATTAACTGGTGTCTGCGCAGAATAGAGGGAATAAAATGGTATGATAGAATAACTAATGTAGAACTTTGGGAGAGAACTAAACAGGCTCCAGTGGATCAGGAAGTGAGGAAAAATGCTGGCGTTGGATAGGGCACACACTGAGCAAACAGGAGAACAGCATAACTAGAATGTCTTTGCATTGGAACCCACAGGGGCATAGGAATAAAGGAAGGCCAAAAAACACATGGAGAAGAGAGCTGGAGAACGAGTTTAGAAAGATTGGGAGGACATGGGGAGAGCTCCATGCAATGGCGAAGGATAGAACGACTTGGCGTGAGTTGGTTGAGGGCCTATGCTCCATTGGGGGATAGAAAGGCAGAAGAAGAAGATCAGTAAAGTATCAGTTAGAGATGAAACAAAGAGTTAGAGGTGACAGCGGACAATAAGATACAAATGTACACAAATGTAAACTACTGAAGGTACACAAATGTAAACTACTGAAGGTACACACATGTAAACTACTGAAGGTACACAAATGTAAACTACTGAAGGTACACAAATGTAAACTACTGGAGGTACACAAATGTAAACTACTGGAGGTACACAAATGTAAACTATTGGAGGTACACACATGTAAACTACTGAAGGTACACAAATGTAAACTACTGGAGGTACACAAATGTAAACTACTGAAGGTACACACATGTAAACTACTGAAGGTACACACATGTAAACTACTGAAGGTACACAAATGTAAACTACTGAAGGTACACAAATGTAAACTCCTGAAGGTACACAAATGTAAACTACTGGAGGTACACAAATGTAAACTACTGGAGGTACACAAATGTAAACTATTGGAGGTACACACATGTAAACTACTGAAGGTACACAAATGTAAACTACTGAAGTTACACAAATGTAAACTACTGGAGGTACACAAATGTAAACTACTGGAGGTACACAAATGTAAACTATTGGAGGTACACAAATGTAAACTACTGAAGGTACACACATGTAAACTACTGAAGGTACACAAATGTAAACTACTGAAGGTACACAAATGTAAACTACTGAAGTTACACAAATGTAAACTACTGGAGGTACACAAATGTAAACTATTGGAGGTACACACATGTAAACTACTGAAGGTACACAAATGTAAACTACTGAAGTTACACAAATGTAAACTACTGGAGGTACACAAATGTAAATTACTGGAGGTACACAAATGTAAACTACTGGAGGTACACAAATGTAAACTACTGAAGGTACACAAATGTAAACTACTGAAGGTACACAAATGTAAACTACTGAAGGTACACAAATGTAAACTACTGGAGGTACACACATGTAAACTATTGGAGGTACACACATGTAAACTACTGAAGGTACACACATGTAAACTATTGGAGGTACACAAATGTAAACTACTGAAGGTACACACATGTAAACTACTGAAGGTACACACATGTAAACTTTTGGAGGTACACATGTAAACTACTGAAGGTACACAAATTTAAACTACTGAAGGTACACAAATGTAAACTACTGGAGGTACACAAATGTAAACTACTGGAGGTACACAAATGTAAACTACTGAAGGTACACAAATGTAAACTACTGAAGGTACACACATGTAAACTACTGAAGGTACACACATGTAAACTACTGGAGGTACACAAATGTAAACTACTGGAGGTACACAAATGTAAACTACTGAAGGTACACAAATGTAAACTACTGAAGGTACACACATGTAAACTACTGAAGGTACACAAATGTAAACTACTGAAGGTACACAAATGTAAACTACTGAAGGTACACAAATGTAAACTACTGAAGGTACACAAATGTAAACTACTGAAGGTACACAAATGTAAGCTACTGAAGGTACACAAATGTAAACTACTGAAGGTACACAAATGTAAACTACTGAAGGTACACAAAATGTAAAACTACTGAAGGTACACAAATGTAAACTACTGAAGGTACACAAATGTAAACTACTGAAGGTACACAAATGTAAACTACTGAAGGTACACAAATGTAAACTACTGAAGGTACACAAATGTAAACTACTGAAGGTACACAAATGTAAACTACTGAAGGTACACAAATGTAAACTACTGAAGGTACACAAATGTAAGCTACTGAAGGTACACAAATGTAAACTACTGAAGGTACACAACTGTAAACTACTGAAGGTACACAAATGTAAACTACTGAAGGTACATAAATGTAAACTACTGAAGGTACACAAATGTAAACTACTGAAGGTACACAAATGTAAACTACTGAAGGTACACAAATGTAAACTACTGAAGGTACACAAATGTAGTGTTCAGAAATTTAAAAATACAGTATAAAAAATAGCAGACAGCATAAAATAACAGCACAGACAGCATAAAATAACTGAACAGACAGAATAAACAGTAGCAGGCATGGAACAACATAACAACACAGGCAGAACAGAATAACAGCATAGACAGAATAAAGTAACAAAACAGATATAATAAAGTAACAGCACTGACAAAATAAAGTAACACAGTCAGAATTATTTCATTTAAACAGCATAACTGACCAAATTTGTTAAATTGAAAAAAAAAATTTTTAAATCAGATAAATTAAAATTATTAAAAAAAAAAAACAATAATACAGTAACAATTACACAAATGAAGCAAATAAGTGAATCCTTTATAACTGAAGTACAATTTCAACAACGATTAAACATGAATGCCTGTTTTTACCGTAAAGACAGAACCATCTTTTTCTGTATATAGAGTTCTGGGTGCAGGTAACGAATCACAGAACAGATAGAATAAAAAAAAAACAGCAAGCACCGACAGAATAAAGTAACAACACAGAGAGAATAAAAAAACAGCACAGACAGAATTTAAAAAAAAAAATTTTTTTTAACAGAACGGACACAATTTGTTAAAAAAAAAAAAAAAAAAGAGCACAGATAAATTACAATTGTTTAAAACAAAAACAAAAAAAACAGGACAGACAAAATAAAATAACTACAGACAGGAAACAATTGAGAAAACACATTTAGCACAGACAGAATAAAATAACGGTACAGACAGAATAAAATAACGGTACAGACAGAATAAAATAACGGTACAGACAGAATAAAATAACGGTACAGACAGAATAAAATAACGGTACAGTACAGACAGAATAAAATAACGGTACAGACAGGAAAACAATTATTTCAAAAAACAAATTCAGCACAGACAGAATAAAATAACGGTACAGACAGAAGATTTGATGAATGAGGCAAACAATGGGTACCTGCTGTTGTAGGTTGTGATAAAACTGGTAATGAAGTTGATGTTGACAGTGGGACTGATTTCAGTGAGGAGGAGATAATCAATGGTGAGGGTGCTGTTGACACTAGAGGTTTGGATGTAGTTGTGAGAATGACTTGGTTGGCATTTTCTTTCTGTGGCTTGATAGGTGACCAGCTGCCATCTTCATGAAACATAATGTCATTGCATGCAGGCGACTGCTGGAATATATTCACAAAATACCTGCAACAAGATGACACAAAGATAACTAGACATATCCATGAAATTACTGCAACAAAATGACACAAAGATAACTGGACATATCCATGAAATTACTGCAACAAGATGACACAAAAATAACTGGACATATCCATAAAAAGACTGCAGCAAGATGACACAAAGATAACTGGACATATCCATAAAATGACTGCAACAAGATGACTTAAAGATAACTGGACATATCCATAAAATAACTGCGACAAGATGACACAAAGGTGACTGGACATATCCATAAAGTGACTGCAACAAGATGACACAAAGGTGACTGGACATATCCATGAAATGACTGCAACAAGATGACACAAAGGTGACTGGACATATCTATAAAATGACTGCAACAAGATGACATGAAGATGACTGGACATTTCCATAAAATGACTGCAACAAGATGACACAAAGGTTACTAGACATATCCATAAAATGACAGCAACAGGATGACACAAAGGTGACTGGACATATCCATAAAATGACTGCAACAAGATGACACAAAAGTTACTGGAAATATCCTTAAAATGATGGCAACAGGATGACACAAAGGTGACTGGACATATCCATAAAATGACTGCAACAAGATGACACAAAGTTTACTGGACATATCCATAAAATGACGGCAACAGGATGACACAAAGGTGACTGGACATATCCATAAAATGACTGCAACAAGATGACACAAAGGTTACTGGACATATCCATAAAATGACGGCAACAGGATGACACAAAGGTGACTCTCACAGGATCCAATGACACTGATGTTTATGGCCACGTCTGCGACCTCTCATAGTATCCCATGACACACCTGTTTATGGCCATGTGTGCAACCTCTTATAATATCCCATGACACACCTGTTTATGGCCACGGCTGCGACCTCTCATAGTATCCCATGACACACATGTTTATGGCCATGTGTGCAACCTCTTATAGTATCCCATGACACACCTGTTTATGGCCACGGCTGCGACCTCTCATAGTATCCAATGACACACATGTTTATGGCCATCTGTGCAGTTTCTCACAGTATCCCAAGACACACATGTTTATGGCCAAGTCTGCGACCTCTCATAGTATCCCATGACACACATGTTTATGGCCATCTGTGCAGTTTCTCACAGTATCCCATGACACACATGTTTATGGCCATCTGTGCAGTTTCTCACAGTATCCCATGACACACATGTTTATGGCCAAGTCTGCGACCTCTCATAGTATCCAATGACACACATGTTTATGGCCGTCTGTGCAGTTTCTCACAGTATCCTATGACACACATGTTTATGGCCAAGTCTGCAGCCTCTCATAGTATCCCATGACACACATGTTTATGGCATGTCTCTTTATGAAGCAGCCATTCTCTCCTGCAAGTGGTCACTTGTTACAGGTGTAAGAAATGCTCATAATGTGGCAGCTCATTGCTTGGCCAATACAGAAACAAGTGAGGTGACTACAAGAGAACACTGACAAATAGACAACTGCCAAAACAAGTGACAGCATGTATTGGAGATCTACTGCAGCCAACATTCACTGTAGAGACAAGACCATCTTCAGTAAATCCCTCAGCATGTGGCAACTGATAATACCAGTTTGGTTTTGGCTAACTATTCTTCGCTGCCTACCTGTATCGTTTTCCTCTCTGGCAAAACATATTTCAACATAAAGTTCTTGTCAAGGTTGCCATTTGCCCATCATCTCCTAAATCATTTGCTTGTTTTGCCTCCCTGAGAACCTCAGCTTGGTCCACTGTTGGTCCACTATATGAGAGCACTGAGAACCTCAGCATGGTTCACTGCTGGTCCACTATATGAGAGCACTGAGAACATCAGCATGGTTCACAGCTGGTCCACTATATGAGAGCACTGAGAACATCAGCATGGTCCACTGCTGGTCCACTATATGAGAGCACTGAGAACATCCGCATGGTCCACTATATGAGAGCACTGAGAACATCAGCATGGTCCACTGCTGGTCCACTATATGAGAGCACTGAGAACATCAGCATGGTCCACTATATGAGAGCACTGAGAACCTCAGCATGGTTCACTGCTGGTCCACTATATGAGAGCACTGAGAACATCAGCATGGTCCACTGTTGGTCCACTATATGAGAGCACTGAGAACATCAGCATGGTTCACAGCTGGTCCACTATATGAGAGCACTGAGAACATCAGCATGGTCCACTGCTGGTCCACTATATGAGAGCACTGAGAACATCCGCATGGTCCACTATATGAGAGCACTGAGAGCATCAGCTTGGTCCACTGCTGGTCCACTATATGAGAGCACTGAGAACATCCGCATGGTCCACTATATGAGAGCACTGGGAACATCAGCATGGTCCACTGCTGGTCCACTATATGAGAGCACTGAGAACATCCGCATGGTCCACTATATGAGAGCACTGAGAGCATCAGCTTGGTCCACTGCTGGTCCACTATATGAGAGCACTGAGAACATCCGCATGGTCCACTATATGAGAGCACTGAGAACATCAGCATGGTCCACTGCTGGTCCACTATATGAGAGCACTGAGAGCATCAGCTTGGTCCACTGCTGGTCCACTATATGAGAGCACTGAGAACATCAGCATGGTCCACTATATGAGAGCACTGAGAACATCAGCTTGGTCCACTATATGAGAGCACTGAGAACATCAGCATGGTCCACTGTTCGTTCACTATATGAGAGCACTGAGAACCTCTGCATGGTCCACTGCTGGTCCACTATATGAGAGCACTGGGAGCATCAGCTTTGTTCACTGGTGGTCCACTATATGAGAGCAATGAGAACCTCAGCATGGTCCACTGCTGGTCCACTATATGAAAGCACTGATAGCATCAGCTTTGTTCACTGGTGGCCCACTATATGAGAGCAATGAGAACATCAGCATGGTCCACTGCTGGTCCACTATATGAGAGCACTGAGAACATCAGCATGGTCCACTGTTGGTCCACTATATGAGAGCACTGAGAACATCAGCTTGGTCCACTGCTGGTCCACTATATGAGAGCACTGAGAACATCAGCTTGGTCCACTGCTGGTCCACTATATGAGAGCACTGAGAACATCAGCATGGTCCACTATATGAGAGCACTGAGAGCATCAGCATGGTCCACTATATGAGAGCACTGAGAACATCAGCTTGGTCCACTATGAGAGCACTGAGAACATCAGCATGGTCCACTGTTGGTCCACTATATGAGAGCACTGAGAACCTCTGCATGGCCCACTGCTGGTCCACTATATGAGAGCACTGAGAGCATCAGCTTTGTTCACTGGTGGTCCACTATATGAGAGCAATGAGAACCTCAGCATGGTCCACTATATGAGAGCACTGAGAGCATCAGCTTTGTTCACTGGTGGTCCACTATATGAGAGCAATGAGAACATCAGCATGGTTCACTGCTGGTCCACTATATGAGAGCACTGAGAACCTCAGCATGGTTCACAGCTGGTCCACTATATGAGAGCACTGAGAACATCAGCATGGTCCACTGTTGGTCCACTATATGAGAGCACTGAGAACATCAGCATGGTCCACTGTTGGTCCACTATATAAGAGCACTGAGAACCTCTGCATGGTCCACTGCTGGTCCACTATATGAGAGCACTGAGAGCATCAGCTTTGTTCACTGGTGGTCCACTATATGAGAGCAATGAGAACCTCAGCATGGTCCACTGCTGGTCCACTATATGAGAGCACTGAGAACATCAGCTTGGTCCACTATATGAAAGCACTGAGAACATCAGCATGGTCCACTGTTGGTCCACTATATAAGAGCACTGAGAACCTCTGCATGGTCCACTGCTGGTCCACTATATGAGAGCACTGAGAGCATCAGCTTTGTTCACTGGTGGTCCACTATATGAGAGCAATGAGAACCTCAGCATGGTCCACTATATGAGAGCACTGAGAGCATCAGCTTTGTTCACTGGTGGTCCACTATATGAGAGCAATGAGAACATCAGCATGGTTCACTGCTGGTCCACTATATGAGAGCACTGAGAACCTCAGCATGGTTCACAGCTGGTCCACTATATGAGAGCACTGAGAACCTCAGCATGGATCACTGCTGGTCCACTATATGAGAGCACTGAGAACCTCTTCATGGTTTACTGTTGGTCCACTATATGAGAGCACTGAGAACATCAACATGGTCCACTATATGAGAGCACTGAGAACCTCAGCATGGTCCACTGCTGGTCCACTATTTGAGAGCACTGAGAACATCAGCATGGTTCACTGCTGGTCCAATATATGAGAGCAATGAGAGCATCAGCTTGGTCCACTGTTGGTCAACTATATGAGAGCAATGAGAACATCAGCTTGGTCCACTATAGGAGAGCACTGAGAACCTCAGCAAGGTTCACTGTTGGTCCACTATATGAGAGCACTGAGAACCTCAGCATGGTTCACTGCTTGTCTTAGCTCCATGAGAGCACTGAGAACCTCAGCTTGGTCCACTGCTGGTCGTGTGCCTACCGTGACCCTGCCAGTATTTATTGCTTGATTCCTTGCTACCCCAGAGAGAGCACCTGAAACTGTCAGAGGAGATCTACCTGCACATTTAGTACTCTGGCTGGTGGTGTCAGGTTTGACGGTTCTTTATTAACTGGCTCTCCTAGATTCTGACTGATGAAATCAACTCTGAATTGATGTATAGTAAAGCTATCTCACTAAACTCCTACAGTCAACTCTCAGACAACAATCTGCCACTGAACTCCTGTTGTCAACTTTCAGACAACAATCTGTCACTGAACTGTAGTCATCTCTCAAGACAACAATCTGTCACTGAACTCCTGTAGTCAACTCTCAGACAACAGTCTATCACTGCTCAGAAAATGTTCTGTCACAGAACTTCTACAGTCAACTTGTCACAAAACTCCTACAGTGAACTGTCATACAACAATTTTACCAGACATTTCAACTGAATGCCACCTTATCATTTCTAGCAACTGCCTACAACATTCCCACCAGGTTTTCTCCCCTTGTAGGCTGGATGTAAAAGAAATTACTTGGAGAACCAACCTCAGCACTGTCTGGCCGTTTTTGATTTCATAAGACAATTGTTATTTTAGTAGTTTGCCCATTGCTTCTGAATAGTCATTTCTGGATACCACTGTTGAAACAATCAGAAGGTGATTGACTGCCAAATCACTCACAGCAGGGATCAAACCTGACCACAGAACGAGGAAGCATGTTTGCAAGGCTTAAGCCAAAGACGCTGTAGCAGATGTTTACTGCTGACTGTTACATTCTATCTATGGTCAGTACTGCTGTCAACCACATGTCACACCTGATGTACTGCTGTCAACCACATGTCACACCTGATGTACTGCTGTCAACCACACGTCACGCCTGATATACTGCTGTCAACCACATGTCACACCTGATGTACTGCTGTCAACCACATGTCCCACCTGAGGTACTGTTGTCAACCACATGTCCCACCTGAGGGATGTAAAAGAAATTACTGTCACCACATCTCAGCACTGTCTGGCCGTTTTTGATTTCATACAATTGTTATTTTAGTAGTTTGCCATTGCTTCTGAATAGTCGTCCTGGATACCACTGTTGAAACAATCAGAAGGTGATTGACTGCCAAATGTCAACCATCAAACCTGACACACCAAGCATGTTTGCAAGGCTGTCCAACAACGCTGTAGCAGATGTTTACTGCTGACTGCTACATTCTATCTATGGTCAGTACTGCTGTCAACCACATGTCACACCTGAGCTACAGCTGTAAACCACGTCACACCTGATGTATTGCTGTCAACCACATGCCATTCCTGACATACTGCTGTCAACCACATGTCCCACCTGAGGTACTGCTGTAAACCACGTCACACCTGAGGTACTGCTGTAAACCACGTCACACCTGATGTACTGCTGTCAACCACACGTCACACCTAATATACTGCTGTCAACCACATGTCCCACCTGAGGTACTGCTGTCAACCATGTCATACCTGATATACTGCTGTCAACCACATGTCACACCTGATGTACTGCGGTCAACCACATGTCACACCTGATATACTGCTGTCAACCACAGTTACACCTGATACACTGCGGTCAACCACATGTCACACCTAATATACTGCTGTCAACCACAGTTACACCTGATACATTGCTGTCAACCACATGTCACACCTGATATACTGCTGTCAACCACATGTCACACCTGATATACTGCTGTCAACCACAGTTACACCTGATGCATTCCTGTCAACTACATGTCACACCTGATATACTGCTGTCAACCACAGTTACACCTAATGCATTCCTGTCAACCACATGTCACACCTGATATACTGCTGTCAACCACAGTTACACCTGATGTACTGCTGTCAATCACATGTTACACCTGATGTATTGCTGTCAACACCCTGAGGTACTGCTGTCAACCATGTCACACCTGATGTACTGCTGTCAACCACATGTCACACCTGATGTACTGCTGTCAACCACATGCCACACCTGATGTACTGCTGTCAACCACATGCCATTCCTGACATACTGCTGTCAACCACATGTCCCACCTGAGGTACTGCTGTAAATCACGTCACACCTGATGTACTGCTGTCAACCACACGTCACACCTAATATACTGCTGTCAACCACATGTCCCACCTGAGGTACTGCTGTCAACCATGTCATACCTGATATACTGCTGTCAACCACATGTCACACCTGACGTACTGCTGTCAACCACATGTCACACCTGATATACTGCTGTCAACCACAGTTACACCTGATACACTGCTGTCAACCACATGTCACACCTGATATACTACTGTCAACCACAGTTACACCTGATACACTGCTGTCAACCACATGTCACACCTGATATACTGCTGTCAACCACATGTCACACCTGATATACTGCTGTCAACCACAGTTACACCTGATGCATTCCTGTCAACCACATGTCACACCTGATATACTGCTGTCAACCACATGTCACACCTGATATACTGCTGTCAACCAAAGTTACACCTGATGCACTGCTGTCAATCACATGTCACACCTGATATACTGCTGTCAACCACAGTTACACCTGATACACTGCTGTCAACCACATGGCACACCTGATATACTGCTGTCAACCACATGTCACACCTGATATACTGCTGTCAACCACAGTTACACCTAATGCATTCCTGTCAACCACATGTCACACCTGATATACTGCTGTCAACCACAGTTACACCTGATGTACTGCTGTCAACCACAGTTACACCTGATGTACTGCTGTCAATCACATGTTACACCTGATGTATTGCTGTCAACACCCTGAGGTACTGCTGTCAACCATGTCACACCTGATGTACTGCTGTCAACCACATGTCACACCTGATGTACTGCTGTCAACCACATGCCACACCTGATGTACTGCTGTCAACCACATGCCATTCCTGACATACTGCTGTCAACCACATGTCCCACCTGAGGTACTGCTGTCAACCACATGTCACACCTGACGAACTGCTGTCAACCACATGTCACACCTGATGTACTGCTGTCAACCACATGCCACACCTGACGTACTGCTGTCAACCACATGTCAAACCTGATATACTGCTGTCAACCACAGTTACACCTGATGCATTCCTGTCAACATCATGTCACACCTGATATACTGCTGTCAACCACATGTCACACCTGATATACTGCTGTCAACCACAGTTACATCTGATGCACTGCTGTCAATCACATGTCACACCTGATGTACTGCTGTCAACCACATGTCACACCTGACGTACTGCTGTCAACCACATGTCACACCTGACGTACTGCTGTCAACCACATGTCCCACCTGATGTACTGCTGTCAACCACATGTCACACCTGACGAACTGCTGTCAACCACATGTCACACCTGACGTACTGCTGTCAACCACATGTCACACCTGACGTACTGCTGTCAACCACATGTCCCACCTGATGTACTGCTGTCAACCACATGTCACACCTGATGTACTGCTGTCAACCACATGCCACACCTGATGTACTGCTGTCAACCACATGTCACACCTGATGTACTTCTGTCAACCACATGTCACACCTGATGTCCTGCTTTCAACCACATGTCCTACCTGATGTCCTGCTTTTAACCACATGTCACACCTGATGTCCTGCTTTTAACCACATGTCATACCTGATGTCCTGCTTTCAACCACATGTCACACCTGATGTCCTGCTTTTAACCACATGTCACACCTGATGTCCTGCTTTTAACCACATGTCACAACTGATGTCCTGCTTTTAACCACATGTCACACCTGATGTCCTGGCTTTTAACCACATGTCATACCTGATGTCCTGCTTTTAACCACATATCACACCTGATGTCCTGCTTTTAACCACATGTCACACCTGATGTCTTGCTTTTAACCACATGTCACACCTGATGTACTGCTGTCAGCCACGTCACACCTGATGTACTGCTGTCAACCATATGTCACACCTGATGTACTGCTGTTAACCACATGCCACACCTGACGTACTGCTGTCAACCACATGCCACACCTGATGTCCTGCTGTCAACCACATGTCACACCTGATGTCCTGCTTTTAACCACATGTCACACCTGATGTCCTGCTTTTAACCACATGTCCTACCTGATGTCCTGCTTTTAACCACATGTCACACCTGATGTCCTGCTGTCAACCACATGTCATACCTGATGTCCTGCTTTTAACCACATGTCACACCTGATGTCCTGCTTTTAACCACATGTCACACCTGATGTCCTGCTTTTAACCACATGTCATACCTGATGTCCTGCTTTTAACAACATGTCACAACTGATGTCCTGCTTTTAACCACATGTCACACCTGATGTCCTGCTTTTAACCACATGTCATACCTGATGTCCTGCTTTTAACCACATATCACACCTGATGTCCTGCTTTTAACCACATGTCACACCTGATGTCTTGCTTTTAACCACATGTCACACCTGATATACTGCTGTCAGCCACGTCACACCTGATATACTGCTGTCAGCCACGTCACACCTGATGTACTGCTGTCAACCATATGTCACACCTGATGTACTGCTGTTAACCACATCACACCTGATGCACTGTTGTCAACCATATGTCACACCTGATGTCCTGCTGTCAACCACATGTCACACCTGATGTCCTGCTTTTAACCACATGTCACACCTGCTGTCCTGCTGTCAACCACATGTCACACCTGATGTCCTGCTGTCAACCACATGTCATACCTGATGTTCTGCTTTTAACCACATGTCACACCTGATGTCCTGCTGTCAACCACATGTCATACCTGATGTCCTGCTTTTAACCACATGTCACACCTGATGTTCTGCTTTTAACCACATGTCACACCTGATGTTCTGCTTTTAACCACATGTCATACCTGATGTACTGCCAACACATAAAATGATCATCTCATAAATTGAGGTCATAAAAGAAAACATAAAAAAAATCAAATGCTTACCCATCAATGATGAGTTTATCGTAGGGACATGGCCGATCGCAGACAGGACACATCCATGTGGGTTTTCTCTCATTCATCATCAGGAATGTGCTGGCATCAAAGCACTGCAGATGAGTACACGTACTGGCTCGACACGGCATCTGCATTCGCATTTTGCCAAGCTTCAATATAGAACAATACCATCATTCTAATGTGGAGAATTATAAAAAAAACATTATCTACACAATCTACTAACGCAAAGTGTTTGACATTGAAAAATGTCTAGGGCCTAATCACAATTCAATCATTTGCACAAGAGCTCTGTAGATAAAGACGCATCTGGATTCCTGCAGGAGAGCAAAAAGTCTAGAGCTCTGTCAGATGAAGACAGCATCTGGATTCCTGCAGGAGAGCAAAAAGTCTGACCACAAAAAGGAACATCACAACTAGTCAGGCAAAATTAACAAGTTGTATCGTAACCACTAACACTACACTACAGAACACTACAGTGTAAACCGCCTAACGTGATCTCAGATTTGGCAAATTTCTGTTGTGAAGAATAATTTGTTTATCTTTCTTGCTTGAACTTTTATCTCCATAAAAGGAACTTCCCTGGTGAGTTCTTCTTATCAGGTCTGCTATCCAAGAATACTTGGATAGTGCAGTTAGTTTCATTTATGAATAGAGGAAAATTGTAGGATGATGAATTAAACACGGTATAGCATTACACTCTGGCACTCTATGTCCAGAATAGCTGATACTGGCCACTTAGTAAGAACATCTAAATCACCATCTGCTACCTAGTCACTCACAGAAGTTTCCCTGATACCTTCCATCATGACCCAACATTGGCCAAATACCACACTGGTCTGCAGCGACTTCACAGAATCTGCAGACACGTGTCCCAATCAACCAGCAGGACACATAAATGCACAGTGCCGACCCCACCACTCACGGGCCAACACTTACACTGTTCAAATCCATTTGAGATTATCTACTGATGTACCATATTTAGCCAGGCAGACAGTCTGTGCATTTCAACAAATGTTACCAGACACACCCGTCCTATTTCACTGACTGAGAGCTACGGAATCAAACTCTATTATGTTTTACAGCTCCGGCCAGTTTCATGTGGATCTCAAATTTCCCTCGCAATTCTCATTGTTTCTTCAGTTACCCCTGTTTCTTGTTTCACAAATGTGTTCAGTGGCTCAAACATCCACACTCAACCATATCATGAAAGCAACACCTGTTTCACAAAAGTTCAGTGGCTCAAACATCCACACTCAACCATATCATGAAAGCAACATGTTTCACAAATGTTCAGTGGCTAATGCATCCATGTTCAACCATATCATGATTATCAATGTGCACTTCCACACTCTCTGACCTCTGGCATACTTACATACTAGAGTAAGCACATCTAACACAGATAATCTATCCCCAAAAAATCTACTAAAGATAATCTGTCAAATGAAATCTATCAAATGAAATCTACCAAAGATAATCTATCAACTGAAATCTATTTAAATTATCTATCAAATGAAATCTACCAAAGAAAATCTATCAACTCAAATCTATTACAGATTATCTACCAAGTGAAATCTATCAAAGACTATCTACCAAGTAAAATCTATCAAAGACTATCAAGTGAAATCTATTAACCCTTTCGCTGCTTCATACCTCACAGCCATCATTACCACTGGGTTCAGCCAATCAACGCTGACCTATTTTCTTGTGTTTAATATTTTTTAATCCTCACAAGACGCGTGGGCGCTGACAATATTTTGCACACCTCAAAATATTCACCCCAGAGTCAGAAGTGCATAAAAGCCTGCACAGAAAGGAGACACTAGAACAGGCCATTCAACCGAGTTTCCCTAGAGGCCAACATTTTAAAAATAGCGTTCTTCCCCGGCCAGAGCCCCAGCATAGAAAGATCGTTAAAACAAATGGTAATGATCCGTGGGTCACTTGCTAGGCCTCCCCAGGCCAGGTCGGCGGGCCACCAGTTGAACAGCCTTGCACTAGAAACTAGATATCATTATTAGGGACAGTGAAAGAAAGTTGTATTCTGTACTTCATCTTTGTCTCCAGCACTGTCATATGTCTAGTAGAAACTCCAGGGAGAGCCAGCACAACGTTCTGATCATCAAAAGTAACATTCTTTGAATGTTTCAGCCCCTTTACCTTCTTTAAGGGAGGATAGTGCAAAAATGTGTTTCCTCCTGATCTCTACTTCATCACTGTCTCTACCGCCCTCGTAAGTTTAGTCATTGCCAGTAAGTGCATCTGAGTCTCTTCATTAACTTCACTGATGAAGCTACTGCCTTTTCACCTGCTCTAACCCTTGAAATATAATCAATGAATCTACTATAGCTCCCACTTTAGTCACCATTAATTGTTGCCATCCTGTTATTAATTTTTTTGTTCGCACTTGGGTCATTCACTGTCAAAAGTGCTCAGAACTAAAATTACATAATAAAAGATTATGTAATTTTTTTAACACTTGGGTCATCCATTGTCAAAAGTGCTCAGAATTGAAACTATACAAAAAATTTTTTAAAGTGTCTGCCGGGACTTGAATGCAGGAGCTTTAACATGAAAGGCTAGGAAATCATAGAATAATATTTAGTGAAAAAAGACAATCTAACAGACAGACACGTGTATTTTCTTTTGTACATTAAAGAAGATATTTTAATTGTAACTGTCATGTCAATGTGTGGCCACACCAAATATGTGTATCCTCTTGATGATCAGTGATGGATCTATTTCACATCTCTTTGATGGTTTGTGTGTGTCAGTCATCTTGCTCACTGCCAGAAGTACATGTCCAAGACACTCAACTCAGAACTCAAACATTTCAAAGTCATCTTTACTATCCCTCCTTTAAAACCCCTTCCATTTATTTATCATCAACTTTAACCAGTTTTCTTGCCATTTTGTATAAATAAAATGTAGACTAATGCACAACCCCAAATATATTTCAGGCAACAAAATACACAGATCACCCACCACGCTTCTGTGTTAAAGCAATAGGATAATGCAGATACCCATCCTACTAACCTAAATGCATCTAATAGAGTATTTAATCATATGTATATGGGTCATTTGGATGTATTATGGCTAATATGTATTGCCCTTTGACCCCCGAGAATAACGGTCTGCAGTCTGCCAGAAAAGTGGAAAATATGATATTTTGCCACAGCAGTGAGGGCACAGAAAGCGTATGACGACTAAAGGCGTTCATCCAACAGTTTACGGGAAAATGCCTGAACATGTAACAAGTTCATAGCAACAAAAAGGTTAAAGGTAATCTATCAACTGAAATCTGTGAAACATAATCTATAAACTGAAAACTATTAAAAATAATCTATTAACTGAAATCTATTACAGATATAATCTATCAACTAAACTCTATCAACACTTTGCCAAGCTTATGGTATGAGAATTATACAGTGAAATGAGGACATGTGTGCACCATGAAGTCACAAGTATGAGTGCACCATGAAGACACAGGTATGAGTGCACCAAGAAGACACAAGTATGAGTGCCATGGAGACAGATATAAGTACACCAAGAAGACACAAGTATGAGTGCACCAAGAAGACACAGGTATGAGTGCACCATGAAGACACAGGTATGAGTGCACCAAGAAGTCACAAGTATGAGTGCACCAAGAAGACACAAGTATGAGTGCACCATGAAGACACAGATATAAGTACACCATGAAGACACACGTATGAGTGCACCAAGAAGACACAGGTATGAGTGCACCATGAAGACACAGGTATGAGTGCACCAAGAAGACACAGGTATAAGTACACCATGAAGACACAGGTATGAGTGCACCATGAAGACACAAGTATGAGTGCCCCAAGAAGACACAGGTATGAGTGCACCATGAAGACACAGATATAAGTACACCATGAAGACACACGTATGAGTGCACCATGAACACAGTATGAGTGCACCATGAAGACACAGGTATGAGTGCACCATGAAGACACAGGTATAAGTACACCATGAAGACACAGGTATGAGTGCACCATGAAGACACAGGTATGAGTGCACCATGAAGACACAGGTATGAGTACACCATGAAGACACAGGTATGAGTGCACCATGAAGACACATATGAGTGCAAGAAGACACAGGTATGAGTGCCCCAAGAAGACACAGGTATGAGTGCACCAAGAAGAAGACACAGGTATGAGTGACCCCCAAGAAGACACAGGTATGAGTGCACCAAGAAGACACAGGTTATGAAGTGCACCACAAGACACAAGTATGAGTGCCCCATGAAGACACAGGTATGAGTGCACAGTGAACCATGAGACACAGGTATGAGTGCACCAAGAAGACACAGGTATGAGTGCACCAAGAAGACACAGGTATGAGTGCACCAAGAAGACACAAGTATATGAGTGCACCAAGAAGACACAGAGTACCATGAAGACACAGGTATGAGTGCCCAAGAAGACACACAGGTATAAGTACACCATGAAGACACAAGTATGAGTGCACCATGAAGACACAGGTATGAGTGCACCATGAAGACACAAGTATAAGTACACCAAGAAGACACAGGTATGAGTGCACCATGAAGACACAAGTATGAGTGCACCATGAAGACACAGGTATGAGTGCCCCATGAAGACACAGGTATGAGTGCACCATGAAGACACAGGTATGAGTGCACCATGAAGACACAGGTATGAGTGCACCATGAAGACACAAGTATGAGTGCACCAAGAAGACACAAGTATGAGTGCACCAAGAAGACACAGGTATGAGTGCACCCAAGAAGACACAGGTATGAGTACACCATGAAGACACAAGTATGAGTGCACCATGAAGACACAGGTATGAGTGCACCATGAAGACACAGGTATGAGTGCACCAAGAAGACACAGGTATGAGTGCACCAAGAAGACACAGGTATGACACAGGTACAGGTATGAGTGCACCATGAAGACACAGGTATGAGTGCACCAAGAAGACACAGGTATGAGTACACCATGAAGACACAGGTATGAGTGCCCCAAGAAGACACAGGTATGAGTGCCCCAAGAAGACACAGGTATGAGTGCACCAAGAAGACACAGGTATGAGTACACCAAGAAGACACAGGTATGAGTGCACCATGAAGACACAGGTATGAGTACACCATGAAGACACAGGTATGAGTGCACCAAGAAGACACAGGTATGAGTGCACCATAAAGAATGAGAAATTAGAATAGATAACAGAAATAAAATAAGAGATAGAACAAAGGACAACAGGCAGCAAAATTAACCGTAAAAAGGAAATAACATAGATATAAAAGTAAGCATAGGTGAGTCAGTACGTACTGGACACATCAGTGACACCCGCAGACTTGTGGTGGCAATGTCGCTGTCTGAGTCCTGGGCCAGTTTCTCTGTAACTGTAAGACAGAGGACAGAGAACATCATCATTATGTGCTTGATTAAGTAACACAACAGTGTGCTGTTTAGGATGTTCATTGTGCGCCAATAAATCTGTATGTACTGAGTTATCTCTCCACAACCAGTCAGTATGTACTGAGTTATCTCTCCACAACCAGTCTGTACGTCCTGAGTTATCTCTCCACAACCAGTCTGTACGTACTGAGTTATCTCTCCACAACCAGTCTGTATGTACTAAGTTATTTCTCCACAACCAGTCTGTATGTACTGAGTTATCTTCATAATACAATAGATGACACTGCACAAACTTGATCCTCTCACAGATACTGGTCTTAATAGTACAATAGATCACACTGCACAAACTTGATTCTCTCACACATACTGGTCTTAATAGTACAATAGATCACACTGCACAAACTTGATTCTCTCACACATACTGGTCTTTATAATACAATAGATCATATTGCACAAACTTGATTCTCTCACAGATACTGGTCTTTATAATACAATAGAATCACACTCACAAACTGTACACAACTTGATTCTCTCACACACACTGGTCTCTTACTGGTCTTTATAACAATAATAGATCACACTGCACAAGCTTGATTCTCTCACAGATACTGGTCTTTATAATACAATAGATCATATTGCACAAACTTGATTCTCTCACACATACTGGTCTTTATAATACAATAGATCACACTGCACAAACTTGATTCTCTCACAGATACTGGTCTTTATAATACAATAAATCACACTGCACAAACTTGATTCTCTCACAGATACTGGTCTTTATAATACAATAGAGCACACTGCACAAGCTTGATTCTCTCACAGATACTGGTCTTTATAATACAATAGATCACACTGCACAAACTTGATTCTCTCACAGATACTGGTCTTTATAATACAATAATAGATCACACTGCACAAACTTGATTCTCTCACAGATACTGGTCTTTATAATACAATAAATCACACTGCACAAACTTGATTCTCTCACAGATACTGGTCTTTATAATACAATAGATCATATTGCACAAACTTGATTCTCTCACAGATACTGGTCTTTATAATACAATAGATCATACTGCACAAACTTGATTCTCTCACACATACTGGTCTTTATAATACAATAGATCATACTGCACAAACTTGATTCTCTCACAGATACTGGTCTTTATAATACAATAGATCACACTGCACAAACTTGATTCTCTCACACATACACATGCACAAGCTTGATTCTCTCACAGATACTGGTCTTTATAATACAATAGATCACACTGCACAAACTTGATTCTCTCACAGATACTGGTCTTTATAATACAATAGATCACACTGCACAAACTTGATTCTCTCACACATACTGGTCTTTATAATACAATAGATCACACTGCACAAGCTTGATTCTCTCACACATACTGGTCTTTATAATACAATAGATCACACTGCACAAGCTTGATTCTCTCACACATACTGGTCTTTATAATACAATAGATCACACTGCACAAACTTGATTCTCTCACAGATACTGGTCTTTATAATACAATAGATCACACTGCACAAACTTGATTCTCTCACACATACTGGTCTTTATAATACAATAGATCACACTGCACAAACTTGATTCTCTCACACATACTGGTCTTTATAATACAATAGATCACACTGCACAAGCTTGATTCTCTCACACATACTGGTCTTTATAATACAATAGATCACACTGCACAAGCTTGATTCTCTCACAGATACTGGTCTTTATAATACAAACTTGATTCTCTCACACATACTGGTCTTTATAATACAATAGATCACACTGCACAAGCTTGATTCTCTCACACATACTGGTCTTTATAATACAATAGATCACACTGCACAAACTTGATTCTCTCACAGATACTGGTCTTTATAATACAATAGATCACACTGCACAAACTTGATTCTCTCACACATACTGGTCTTTATAATACAATAGATCACACTGCACAAACTTGATTCTCTCACACATACTTGATTCTCTGCACAAACTTGATTCTCTCACACTGGTCTTTATAATACAATAGATCACACTGCACAAACTTGATTCTCTCACGCATACTGGTCTTTATAATACAATAGATCATACTGCACAAACTTGATTCTCTCACACATACTGGTCTTTATAATACAATAGATCACACTGCACAAGCTTGATTCTCTCACACATACTGGTCTTTATAATACAATAGATCACACTGCACAAACTTGATTCTCTCACAGATACTGGTCTTTATAATATAATAGATCACACTGCACAAGCTTGATTCTTTCACAGATACTGGTCTTTATAATACAATAGATCACACTGCACAAACTTGATTCTCTCACAGATACTGGTCTTCACAAGACTACAAATGTCAAGGGCAGACATACTTAATGCTCTTGTGTGGTCTAGGTGACGATGACCAAACTGTTTGAGTCTGGCCAGTAAAATCTCTGAGGATAGTTTCCTCACCAGGTAGATGGACATGCAGAAACTCTGGGGGGCAGCAAAAAACATCTGACATCAGAATTATTCCAAGGGCTACACAATTGCATCTTACATCATTAGAATAATCAAGGGATTAAATATCCAATAATTCCTGCAATGATGCACCAATGTCCCTATAATCATACATCAATGTCCCTGTAGTTATGCACCAATGTCCCTATAATCATATACAAATTTCCCTACAATCATACACCAATGCCCTTATAATCATTCAACAATGCGCTTATAATTATACCACAATGTCCCTATAATCAAACATCAATGCTGTTGTAATCATACAATAATGATGTTGTAATAATACACCAATACTGCTGTAATGATAAACCAATGTCCCTATAATCATACACCAACGAATGCCTCTGTAATCATAATCAATGTCCCTGTAACTGTGTATCCAGAGTTCCTGTAGTAGCGAATCGAAGCGTCTATAATACTAAATGTTCATGAATTCCATAAATCAAAGCTCCTCTAATGACATATCCTTGTTCCTGTTATTGTGTTTAAAGGTCCCTTTAACAATCAACATTTATGTAATTGTGTGTAGAAGCGTCCCTTTAACTATCAACATTCCTGTAATCAGGTGTACGAGTCCCTTTAATCATCAACATTCCTGTAATCAGGTGTAAGAGCTCCTTAAACCATCAACATTCCTGTAATCAGGTGTAAGAGCCTCTTTAACCATCAATATTCCTGTAATCAGGTGTAAGAGCCTCTTTAACCATCAATATTCATGTAACCAGGTGTAGGAGCCCCTTAAACCATCAATATTCCTGTAATCAGGTGTAAGAGCTCCTTAAACCATCAACATTCCTGTAATCAGGTGTAAGAGCTCCTTAAACCATCAACATTCCTGTAATCAGGTGTAGGAGCCCCTTTAACCATCAACATTCCTGTAACCAGGTGTAAGAGCCCCTTAAACCATCAATATTCCTGTAATCAGGTGTAAGAGCTCCCTTAACCATCAATATTCCTGTAATCAGGTGTAAGAGCACATAAACCATAAACATTCCTGTAATCAGGTGTAAGAGCCCTTTTAACCATCAATATTCCTGTAATCAGGTGTAAGAGCCCCTTTAACCATAAATATTCCTGTAATCAGGTGTAAGAGTCCCTTTAACCATCAACATTCATGTAATTGTGTCTAAGGGTCAATTTAACCATCAACATTCCTGTAATTATGTCTAAGAGTCCCTTTAACCATCAACATTCATGTAATTGTGTCTAAGATGCCCTTTAACCATCAACATTCCTGTAATTATGTCTAAGGGTCCCTTTAACCATCAACATTCCTGTAATTGTGTGTAAGAGTCCCTTTAACCATCAACATTCCTGTAATGTGTGTCTAAGGGTCCCTTTAACCATCAACATTCATTAATTCCTAGTGAACGGCTAGAAACCAGTATCCTCTGTTATGACCTCAATGACCCTGCATTCTCTGAGTAGTACGTGCCTGTTCCCTGACTTACCCTCTCTCTGTTAGTAATCAGAATGAACAATTTCTGGATTGTCTTATTCACAGGCTTCTTTTACCCTATTTCAGTAATAGGCATTTCCACGTTGGCTGGGAACCTCTAAGCCCTAAGTTCCCTTCATATGCACACAGCAAATCAGCCACAAAGCTGCGTCGAGGAATTCTACAACTTTGGCAGGACTTCACAACACTGACTCTCATCAGCACATAGCCAATAACCGAAGTCTACGGGGGTCACTCTGCTTGTAAACAGAATCAGCTCTGTCTTGTTTTTGTAATGATCGAGACAAACTTTGTCACCTAAGACAAGCTCCTCACACTGCTCTCTCTTTAACTCAGCTCTCCTATCTGTGGCATATCTTTCTGCTTCTTTGTCTTCTTAACTACTCCTTCATCTTTGTTACAAAGCGTACAAAATCCAGTTACTAATTTCTCCCTAATAAATATATGCAGTACACAAAAGCACACTGGTACAATGCTAAAATTGTCACACGTTTCAATGTAGGACGAATCAACTCTACCCTCATCGCACGTGTTACGTGAACAAAACGGCTCTGTCTCTGCAACATAGGGCTTAGCTTAGCCCCCACTGTCAAAATACATACTCTCCTACATAGGAAGACTTCAGCTGCCATTACTGTGTAGCGAATGGGTCTGATGCACTCATTATTGCGAAGGGATTTGTCCTTTGGTCCTACAGTCAGGGACAAACATATATGGACAATGCAGATGACGACTTAGGAGAGGTGCAGATTCAATTGTAACGTGGAACAGTACAACAGAACCATGTGGAATAGTACAACACAACCACATGGAACAGTACAACAGAACACTGTGGGACAGTACAACAGATCCACATGGGGCAGTGCAACAGAATTATGTGGACAGTACAAAAGAACCATGTGGAATAGTACAACAGAACCACATGGGACAGTGCAACAGAACCATTAAGATATTAAAACAGAGCCTTGTAGGACAGTAAACAGAACCATGTAACATACCCGAGTGAAATCAGCTGCCCATGTGACTGTGATGGCGTTAGACACTGTTGGAGACAAACGGCACAAGCTGGTGATGTCCACAGGGCGGCCAGGTCTTTTTGGCTCAACATTTGGCTTGTTAGTTGGAATCACATTCTGTCAATGTTCATTAGACACTGATATTCAGGACTTTAAGTTTAGATGCAACATTATGTAGTACTGGCCCCTTTTTTTAGGCTTACAATTTTTCCAGAACGATGACGTTATTAATCTGTTGCAGCATCCAGAAATACTTTGGTGCTCATTGGCCCGCCCCTTGGGTGATAATGTTCATCAAAAACTCATTTCGAACATGGGTGAACAGAGAGTTCTACTAAATGACAAAACCTGGTTCAAATATCTGTCAACTGAAAATTTCTACTATATGACAAATTCTAGCTTCAAACATTTGTCAATCAGAGAGTTCTACTATATGACTAACTCTAGCTCAAATGTCTGTCAATCAAAGAGTTATACTATATGACAAAACCTTGGTTCAAACATCTGTCAAGTGAAAAGTTCTACTATATGACAAACTCTAGTTCAAATGTCTGTCAAAGAGTTCTACTATGTGACAAAAGTTGATTCAAACATCTGTCAACTTAAGAGTTCTACGTATGACAAACCTGGTTCAAACATTTGTCAACAGAAGAGTTCTACTATATGAAAAACTCTAGTTCAAATGTCTGTCAATCGGAGAGTTCTACTATATGACTGGTTCAAACTACTGTGTGACAAAACAAACATCTGTACAGAGAGTTCTACTGTGTGACAAAACCTGGTTCAAACATCTGTCCACCGAGAGTTCTATTATATGACAAACTCTAGTTCAAACATCTGTCCACCGAGAGTTCTATTATATGACAAACTCTAGTTCAAACATCTGTCCACCGAGAGTTCTATTATATGACAAACTCTAGTTCAAACATCTGTCCACCGAGAGTTCTATTATATGACAAAAACCTGGTTCAAACTTCTGCCCTCCGAGAGTTCTACTATATGACAATCTCTAGTTCAATCATCTGTCCAACGAGAGTTCTATTATATGACAAACTCTAGTTCAAACATTTGTCAACCGAAGAGTTCTACTGTGTGACAAAACCTAGTTCAAACATCTGTCCACCGAGAGTTCTATTATATGACAAACCTTGGTTCAAACATCTGTCCACCGAAAGTTCTATTATATGACAAACCTTGGTTCAAACATTTGTCAACCGAAGAGTTCTACTGTGTGACAAAACCTGGTTCAAACATCTGTCCACCGAGAGTTCTACTGTGTGACAAAACCTGGTTCAAACATCTGTCCACTGAGAGTTCTACTGTGTGACAAAACCTGGTTCAAACATCTGTCCACCGAGAGTTCTACTGTGTGACAAAACCTGGTTCAAACATCTGTCCACTGAGAGTTCTGTTATATGACAAACTCTAGTTTGAATTTCTGTCAATCGGAGAGTTCTACTATATGACAAAAGTTGATTTAAACATCTGTCAACTGAAGAGTTCTACCGTATGACAAACCTTGGTTCAAACATTTGTCAACCGAAGAGTTCTACTGTGTGACAAAACCTGGTTCGAACATCTGTCCACCGAGAGTTCTATTATATGACAAACTCTAGTTCGAATGTCTGTCCACAGGGAGAGTTCTAATATATGATAAACAGATATGAGGTTAAGCATTCCTGTGCAAGACATGATGATTCTTTGGGTCAACCCAGTCCCAGAGCACCACGCATCAGCACTGTATGTAAGAAAACCTCCTTGGATAGTGGTAAATTCCACATTCCACAATTGTCTTCCTTTGAGAGCCAAACAGTCTGCACATAGTGGTCCTGGATGAGTCCTTTAGTGACAACACCTGTAGATCAGGGGACAACAAAGACATGATACGCATGAGACTACAAATGTTCCGCATAACTAACAGGGAAGTCTACCCCCGCATAACAAATCCCTGATGAAGTTGGATGTGTCAGCTGACAGGCACAAATACTGCAGCTATTGTAGCCTAGAAAACGGAAGAAATGAAGCATTTCCAGGGCCCTACATGCAAGTCATTCTCCTCCTGATATAAACTATGCAGACGCGAAAGTTAGGAAAAGAGTCTTTGCAGGGAGAAGGATTGGAGAATATACACAGAAAAAAAAAAGCATGGAATTCAGTCAGCTTGAATAGTGAGCTACTGGTAAAGATGTGGATGAACAGGTGAGGATGATGTGATGTAAAAGAAAGAGATAAGAATGATGTGATGTGAAAGGAAAGAAATAAACAGGTTAAGAATGATGATGTGAAAGGAAAGAGATAAGATAAACAGGTTAAGAATGATGTGATGTGAAAAGAAAGAGATAAGATAAACAGGTTAAGAATGATGTGATGTGAAAAGAAAGAGATAAGAATGATGTGATTTGAAAAAGGAGATAATAAAAATTAGACGATGTGATGTGAAAAGAAAAGATAATAAACAGGTGAGAATTGAAGAAAGAAACGATGTTATGTGAAAAGATAAAACAGGTTAAGAATGATGTGATGTGAAAAGAAAGAGATAAGATAAAACAGATTAAGAATGATGTGATGTGAAAAGAAAGAGATAAGATAAACAGGTTAAGAATGATGTGATGTGAAAAGAAAGAGATAAAAACAGGTTAAGAATGATGTGATGTGAAAAGAAAGAGATAAGACAAACAGGTTAAGAATGATGTGATGTGAAAAGAAAGAGATAAGACAAACAGGTTAAGAATGATGTGATGTGAAAAGAAAGAGATAAGACAAACAGGTTAAGAATGATGTGACGTGAAAAGAAAGAGATAAGACAAACAGGTCAGTATGATGTTCTGATGATGACATAACTCACTGGTAAAGTGGCCGGTTTATTGTTGACGCGGACCTGGATCTGAGATGGAAAGATGTCTGCCTGCTCACAAGATGGCTCTAGGAGACAAAACCTCAGCTGAACTTGAACTGTGTACTCACACTTGGCCCCGGGCCTGAAATCTCTAGCAGAAATCAAATCAGCACAGGTCATTTCACCACAGCTCATAAAACTACAGCAGATAGTAGTGTCACACACACACACATCAACACACGCATGCACGTGTGCATGCATGCACACATTCACACACACACAATTATGACCTGCCACAACTGATGTTCACTGTTGGTCATTTGATATATATATATATCAAATGACCAACAGTGAACATCAGTGTGGCAGGTCACCAGCAGTCTATTAGACATAGCTTTTAACATACATACATATAATAGACATAGATTCTAACATACACACATATACTAGACATAGATTCTAACATACACACATATACTAGACAAAGATTCTAACATACACACATATACTAGACATTGATTCTAACATACACACATATACTAGACAAAGATTCTAACATACACACATATACTAGACATATATTCTAACGTACACACATATACTAGACATAGATTCTAACATACACACAAATACTAGACATAGATTCTAACATACACATATATACTAGACATAGATTCTAACAAACACATATATACTAGACATAGATTCTAACATACACACATATACTGGACATCGATTCTAACATACACATATACTAGACATACATTCTAACATACACACATATACTAGACATAGATTCTAACATACACACATATACTAGACATAGATTCTAACATACACACAAATACTAGACATAGATTCTAACATACACATATATACTAGACATAGATTTTAACAAACACATATATACTAGACATAGATTCTAACATACACACATATACTGGACATCGATTCTAACATACACATATACTAGACATACATTCTAACATACACACATATACTAGACATAGATTCTAACATACACACATATACTAGACATAGATTCTAACATACACATATATACTAGACATAGATTCTAACATACACACATATATACTAGACATTGATTCTAACATACACATATATACTAGACATAGATTCTAACATACACATATATACTAGACATAGATTCTAACATACACACATATAATAGACATAGATTCTAACATACACACATATAATAGACACAGATTCTAATATACACATATATACTAGACATAGATTCTAATATACACACATATACTAGACATAGATTCTAACATACACATATATACTAGACACACATTCTAACATACACACATATACTAAACATAGATTCTAACATACACACATATACTAAACATAGATTCTAATATACACATATATACTAGACAAAGATTCTAACATACACATAGATATACTCTATATATATTCTAATGTGCACAGATATACTAGATAGATTCTAACATACACACATATACTAGAGATAGATTCTAACATACATATATACTAGACATAGATTCTAAGCTAACTGCTTCAGATGTAAGAGGATAACATGACAAACCTGACACCAGAGTTTAACTAGAGTGGCCTTATCAAAAAGGTGTGGCTACCACTGCCAAAACAAATAAAGACCATCCCAAGATCAGCGGTTACAGAATCATCACTGTGCAGAACATGACAGATAAGCTTCTGGACAAAACTGTAGCATGTAGACTTGCTGACCACTTGCAAAGCATGACAGGTGACCATCCACACTTGAAGGATACAGAGGCAGCAAAGATTCATGGCTTAATGCATCAGTTTTCTTCGTGAAGTCTATGTCAGATGAATGAGGAGGAGGAATGGGAACTTGACTTAGAGGATGTGTACAACAGAGTACCATTTGACTAACTGGTGCAAATACTTCTCCGTCTGCAAGTATGGCTCTTTCTCAAGCTGGCTAACACTGGCACTGTTCTAGAGACAGGAGGTACTAAGGTGTGATTGTTGGGCCTTAACAGCGATCACCATTTGTCCAGGACTGCCTCCAATGTCTCCATTTCTATTCAGCGTTTACAGAGTTGATAATTTAACAGTCGAAGGGAAGTGGCAGTATTATATCTAAACATATCTGTGACCCATTGAGAGGACCCTGTCATTTTGATGACATCTTAGTGTATCAACATGGAAGAGATGTTCGGATGACAGCCAATACAATGCACAGCCAACTTAATTGCATCTCCTCCTGGTGTATGAATTCCAATGCACATGTCAACCCTTCAAAGGCCTCAGAAACCTGGACGAAGCTTTGACAAGAACAAGCCTGATGAGTTGTCTCACAGTGTGGTTTGAACGCAGTCCCTTTTCCCATTCCTGGGGACACTCAGTCGACTGACGACCTACAATTCAAGGATGTAAGTTTCCAGGGACTCTGCACTTAGCATCACATGACAGCCATTTCAGGTTTTTACTTGGATCAGGAGGGAGAAATTAAACCTACACCTACCATCTATCTGAGTAAAATATACCAGTTCCACAACAGCCACCAACATGAGCAGAGACTGCATCTGCTTCTCTTCCAGGGACTAGTTCTTTCTCCCATCAAAAATGCACTTAACTCAATATCAGCCATAATCAGGCTGAAAAACTGACAAAAGTGCAAAATGAAGCTATGTGCATTATTCTGGAGACATTACTGATTTTCTGACCTGGATCAAGCTTTAGAGGGCTTGTGCATACTTGCAGATAAGCTCAGATATGAAGCCCCCTTTGCAGAATATGCTACAAAAAATTGTAGTAGGCTAAAAAGGGGCAAACTATAGCTAGGTAGGACAGAGGATGATATCAAGTCAATCAGCAGCTCTTTCAGATATCCAGCCCAGTGAGGAATGGATACCTGTGCCCCAAGCTCTCACATGCACCTTCTACTGAGATGTCCGGCTTGACAGAAGTTGTCGCGAGTAGAATCCTGTTGCTGTCAGTGCAAAGGTGCATGCAATGTCAACTAACTCTGCAAGCAGAAGAGTCCAGGAAGCCAGCAATGCCTTTTCTATGTATAGTAGTAGCATGACAATGGAGATGATGGCGCTGACACAAGCTTTGTTGCAGATGGCAACCCTATGGGTTTTAGTGATGTTGTAAATGCCCTTGGAGAGATAGAATGATCAACATGCAATGTCCTGAGCTCACAGTCTACAATCAACTCACACAGACATGATGATGTCCTGAGCTCACAGTCTACAATCAACTCATCTGTACCTGGCAATGTCCTGAGCTCACAGTCTACAATCATCAACTCATCTGTACATGATGATGTCCTGAGCTCACAGTCTACAATCATCAACTCATCTGTACATGATGATGTCCTGAGCTCACAGTCTACAATCATCAACTCATCTGTACATGATGATGTCTTGAGCTCACAGTCTACAATCATCAACTCATCTGTACATGATTATGTCCTGAGCTCACAGTCTACAATCATCTCATCTGTACATGGTGATGTCCTGAGCTCACAGTCTACAATCATCAACTCATCTGTACATGATGATGTCCTGAGCTCACAGTCTACAATCATCAACTCATCTGTACATGACAATGTCCTGAGCTCACAGTCTACAATCATCAACTCACACAGACATGATGATGTCCTGAGCTCACAGTCTACAATCATCAACTCATCTGTACATGATGATGTCCTGAGCTCACAGTCTACAATCAACTCATCTGTACATGACAATGTCCTGAGCTCACAGTCTACAATCATCAACTCACACAGACATGATGATGTCCTGAGCTCACAGTCTACAATCATCAACTCATCTGTACATGGCAATGTCCTGAGCTCACAGTCTACAATCATCAACTCATCTGTACATGGTGAAGTCTTGAGCTCACAGTCTACAATCATCAACTCATCTGTACATGGCGATGTCCTGAGCTCACAGTCTACAATCCTCAACTCATCTTACATGGCGATTTCCTAAGCTTACAGTCTACAACCATCAACTCACACAGACATGATGATGTCCTGAGCTCACAGTCTACAATCAACTCATCTGTACATGGCAATGTCCTGAGCTCACAGTCTACAATCATCAACTCATCTGTACATGATGCCCTGAGCTCACAGTCTACAATCATTAACTTACACAGACATGTTTATGTCCTAAGCTCAGTCTACAATCATCAACTCATCTGTACATGATGATGTCCTGAGCTCACAGTCTACAATCATCAACTCCTCTGTACATGATGATGTCCTGAGCTCACAGTCTACAATCATCAACTCATCTGTACACGATGATGTCCTGAGCTCAGTCTACAATCATCAACTCATCTGTACATGATGATGTCCTGATCTCACAATCTACAATCATCAACTCATCTGTACATGATGATGTCCTGAGCTCACAGTCTACAATCAACTCACACAGACATGATAATGTCCTGAGCTCACAGTCTACAATCATCATCTGTACATGGTGATGTCCTGAGCTCACAGTCTACAATCATCAACTCATCTGTACATGATGATGTCCTGAGCTCACAGTCTACAATCAACTCACACAGACATGATGATGTCCTGAACTCACAGTCTACATTCAACTCATTTGTACATGGCAATGTCCTGAGCTCACAGTCTACAATCAACTCATCTGTACATGGTGATGTCCTGAGCTCACAGTCTACAATCATCAACTCATCTGTACATGATGATGTCCTGAGCCCACAGTCTACAATCTACTCATCTGTACATGGCAATGTCCTGAGCTCACAGACTACAATCATCAACTCACACAGACATGATGATGTCCTGAGCTCACAGTCTACAATCCTCAACTCATCTGTACATGGCGATTTCCTAAGCTTACAGTCTACAATCATCAACTCACCTGTACATGATGATGTCCTGAGCTCACAGTCTACAATCCTCAACTCACACAGACAAGTTTATGTCCTAAGCTCAGTCTACAATCATCAACTCACCTGGACATAGTGATATCCTGAGCCTGTTGGGGTGTCAGATGGAACACAAACAGCGTCTCCTGCATCCGTCCATTATTTTTGGCAACTGTAAGGGAGAAATGCAGTCAGTAAAATCCTGGCCAGCCTCACGAAGTTTCACACAACCTATACTTCATGCACATATGTGAATACACCTGTCAACACACTTCATGCACACATGTGAATACACCTGTCAACACACTTCATGTACACATGTGAATCCACCTGTCAACACACTTCATGTACACATGTTAATATACCTGTCAACATACTTCACACACCTCTTTATCACATGCTGACACTCACCTGTCAGCAGACTTCACATACACACACACTTGTCAACACACTTCATGCACACATGACAACACACCCATACATATGTCTTTCGCGCATTGAAGCACATCAGCTTTCTGCACTGAGAACTTGTTTTAGCTCTATGAGTACTTGTACCTATAGGGTTTAGGGGACACACTTGGGTCGTAAGTCCCTTGATCACGAAAACACTTGTACAGTCAAGACCATTGTGCGTGGCGGAGGAGGCACAAAACACAACAGGTCTAGAGCAGATAACATTGATAAAGAACCCTAAGCCTAATGTGGACCTACGTGCCTATGGGCTGAATGGCTGTGAAATAAACAGCTGTAAACGTGAAACGTCTGTTTAGTGGGTAAGGCAGCACTAGGCATATGGACTCCGTCAGGACATTCCCTGCCTCTTTACTAGCAAGCAGGCAGGCAATACTAGTGTGGCCGTTTATTCCTGACCTGAAATAATTTTTTTTTTAAATTTTGTACTTAAAAATAGAAAGAATCATCGCTGGAGCTACAGAGTTTGTCTTCTGTGCTTGATACCATCTTTAGGTGGCAATGGAGAGAATGGGAAGAGGAGAAGACAAGAAAATGGAGAGAGAAGGCACAGAAAAAAAGAAGAGCTGGAGAATGGACAGTCCCAGAGCGTCTAGGATTAAAGCATATTAGAGTTGGTTACTGGAGAGGACCTGTACTGGAGAGACTGATTTATGGCTCTGATATCATCATGCTGCAGGATAGATTAGAGTGTCCTGGGTTGATGGCTCTGATATCATCATGCTGCAGGATAGATTAGAGTGTCCTGGGTTGATGGCTCTGATATCATCATGCTGCAGGATAGATTAGAGTGTCCTGGGTTGATGGCTCTGATATCATCATGCTGCAGGATAGATATGAGTGTCCTGGGTTGATGGCTCTGATATCATCATGCTGCAGGATAGATTAGAGTGTCCTGGGTTGATGGCTCTGATATCATCATGCTGCAGGATAGATTAGAGTGTCCTGGGTTGATGGCTCTGATATCATCATGCTGCAGGATAGATATGAGTGTCCTGGGTTGATGGCTCTGATATCATCATGCTGCAGGATAGATATGAGTGTCCTGGGTTGATGGCTCTGATATCATCATGCTGCAGGATAGATATGAGTGTCCTGGGTTGATGGCTCTGATATCATCATGCTGCAGGATAGATATGAGTGTCCTGGGTTGATGGCTCTGATATCATCATGCTGCAGGATAGATATGAGTGTCCTGGATACATTAGTTATATAAATCCTACTGGACAGGGAAGACATGGGCAATGTCTGCTGGTGAAGAATGGGTTGAAGCATGTGGTTCTTGACTTACATCATAGTACACCAAAGGTTCAGGCATACAAATAGATAATATCATGTGGAAGCAGTTGCAGTGAAATGCCAAAAAAAGACTCAAAGCTCTCAAAATTATGGCAGCACTGGACATGAAACAAAGAATGTAGTTCACAATGTTCCAGCATGTAATCCTGTCGGTTATGTCTTGGAATGCTTATAATATCTAAGAGTCAGCTGATAAAACTTGAATGAATAGAGAATTAGGCTACGCATGTTATTCTGGGATGTGCAAGAGATACCCCAGTAGTATGTATGCGATACATACTTGCACTGCCTATTGTAGATAGGCTTAAAGTTCTGCAAGCAAAGTCATATCTCAGAGTAGCTGCAGACAAGAAGCACCTCCTGCATGAAGCCCTGGGTAGAGCTAAGGGTCACAGACTGAAACGAGGAAGGTCTTGGATGGTGCAAGCTGAAGACATAAATAGAAATGTGTACAGGTTTGATAAATTAAGGGTGAGGAGAGGAGTGGGTTAAAGTGTCCAAGCAAGTTTCAGACAAATGGTTCTTGAAAATTCTCACCCAGGCGATGTGATTATCTATACAAATGGCTCTGTGTTGAGGGGCAGGCAAAGTGCATGGAAGTTCATAGCAAAAGCAAATGCGTGTCGCTTGGTTCAACAAACCCTGGAATATGATATCACAAAGTCTAGTTTGAGAATGGAGGTGAAGGCAGTCTCTGCTACCTTCTGCTGGCTTGAGAATTAGCTGCACACACATGCTGTGATTGTAACTGACTAAAAGAGCATATTGAGAAAGGTGAAAACAGGCATGCCTCGTGCAGAGTGGCAAGCATCACTTCACAGGTCCTGGGTAGTTAGCATCCTTTGGATATTCTCTCCAGGTCATGGCAGTGTGTTGGGATTTGAGCAGGCAGTTAGACTGGCTGGTTCTGCACCACTTGGTGGTGAATTGATGTATGACAAGCTGGATGTTTTGAAGGTCCTTTGGGAGTGAGTAAACAGGGCAGAGGCACAAACAGATTATTAGTCTGTGTAAAAAGGCACTGCACGGAGTTACCAGGTGATCTGGCCGACACTCAACACTCAAGGGAAAATATACAGGACAGATATACAATCAGACAGTTAGTGGTACCATTGGAATTGGAACTCTTTGCTTCCTGCTGAAAATAGGGTCGGAGCGCTTATGTGGGTGTCCTGTGATGTTAATTCAACATTCAACAGATTTAACATTCTGTCAACACACATGATGCACAGCTGTGATTCAACACACATCACATTTATGTCAATCATTCATACAGCATACACTTTAATGTTTTTATAATATGATCCAAACCCAACTTTAGATTGTCTAATAGAAAGAAACATACATGAGGATAACAGAGTATGGAATGTGCATGTCATGCCAGGAGATTCAGCACACAATCTATAACAGCCGATGAATAAGCTCAGCTAGTTCCCATCTGGAAAAAGAAAGGTTGAGTGGGGCATTCTAGCTGGAGCAGTACAAGAGACCAGACATGTATATTTGTCTAATTCTCGGTCTTGTTCACCATACATAAAGGAAGACTGGCAAAAATACAGCCCACTGGACCAGAGCAAACTTTGACATTTGCAGATGTTGTCCTAGTGTATGGAAGCGGGTCAGACAGGCACAACATGATCAGAGACTTGCAGATGATGACCTAATGTATCAAAGTGGGTCAGACAGGCGCTACATGACCAGAGACTTGCAGATGATGACCTAATGTATCAAAGCAGGTCAGACAGGCGCAACATAACCAGAGACTTGCAGATGATGACCTAATGTATCAAAGTGGGTCAGACAGGCACAACATGACCAGAGACTTGCAGATGATGACCTAATGTATCAAAGTAGGTCAGACAGGCGCAACATGACCAGAGACTTGCAGATGATGACCTAATGTATCAAAGTGGATCAGACAGGCGCAACATGACCAGAGACTTGCAGATGATGTCCTCATGTATCAAAGTGGGTCAGACAGGTGCAACATGACCAGAGACTTGCCAATGATGTCCTCATGTATCAAAGTGGGTCAGACAGGCGCAACATGACCAGAGATTTGCAAAGTGGTTTGCATGAGATGAGGAGTGGTGTGAACAGACAGGGTCAAAGAAAAACCCAGAGAAGGCCAGTGTTTTTTGGTGCTCCTTAACATAGGAAGACTTGCCCAACATTTTCATCCATGAAGAATATCAATGCTGAAAGAAGAGATAAGCTGAAATACTTAGGTTTGACGTTTGATAGCAGTCTGTCCAATAGATCAATTGGAGCAGCCTGTGATCAAATGCAAGCGTAGCCGGGCGGCACTGAAGACGATGGTGGCGACACACATGGAACAGTCTACTGGTCTTAATGTTCAACCATTTGGTCCTTTCAGTAATTGATTATGGCCTAGCATATGAATGCTATCTACTTCACAGCGAACAAAACTTGAATGGATTCAAAATGAAAGAATGAAAACTATCTTGGGTTGCACATGAGATACTGTGACGACATGCCTAGTGACTCTAGAACGTGTTTTTCCCCAAACTTAATTTGCTTCTATGTATTTTAAAGTATAGAGGAAAACATGCTCCTGGTTATAACCTAAATTAAGGCCATCCAGAAGAGAGCCACTTCATTTCTCCTAAGACTATAGTTGAAGTCTAAAACCCAGACTCTTGTCCAGGGGTCAGCTGTTAATGGTCCAGCTAACAATGACTAAACTTAGACATGGTGGCTGTAGGTTTTGTTTGTAGAACTGAAGAGACCCTTAGGGGCAGGCAACTGGTCATAAAAGTAATATCTCCCCCTAAGATTACCTTTCCTTGAACTGTCAGGTCAGGGCTAGGGTTGATCCTTTCATAATGAAGTGTTAGCAGACAACCTCAAACCAGAGGTGTCAGACATGTTACATTATCAGCCCTTCAATTCCTTCTGAATTCCTCCCCCCCCCCCCCAATCCCCCCCCCCCCCCAATTCAGGGGAACTAACGCGGGCAAGGGGAAAGTCCAGACATGATGGCGCCACTTGACTGGTTTATCACACCTTTTATTGACAATAGGTTATGAGTTACGAGTTAGATTATCTTCACAGCACTCCGGACACATCCATAGGCGCTCAGATTCCCCTCTCAACATATTCATCAGCGTCGCGTGGTTGATAGTGCCAGTCCTATGTTGGTTAACAAGGCTTTGTGTGCGTCCGGTGTGCTTCTCATGCTTGGCTTAGCCGATCTTTACTCCCAATTCTCATATTTTTAGTAGCGATGTGGACAAGTTGCTTCCAGAATCCTCAGAATGTCCTATCTCTCTAAGGGTAATGACAATGTCTGTGTGATCCATGGGCCGGCCATCTTCAAATCAGCACCTGCCAGTCTATCAGCTCTTTTATTACAAACGCCTGCATCCGATGTGAACACGT